TCTCTGGGACAATCTCTGGAACCGCCTCCGGGCCCGCAGAGGGACCGTCTCCGGACTGTCGACGGGACCGCCTCTGGGCCCGTCTCTGGGACCGTCGACGGACTGTCGACAGACCGTCTCCGAGACCGTCTCTGGGACCGTCGACGGAACGTTGAGGGCCCGCAAAGGGGCCGTCGCTGAGACCGTCTCCGGGCCGCAGAGGGGCCGTCGACGGGACCGACGACGGCCGCAGAGGGGCTGTATCCGGGGTCGTCTCCGGGGTCGTCGACGACGTCTCCGGGTCCGTCTCCGAGCCCTCTCGAGCATCTCCAGTTGCTCCGGCCCCTGTCTGCTCCCCCTCGTCTGGGGACCACAAGTTACCCTGCTCGCGTCCACAACGGCCACCCCCTCACTCCAGCCTCTGCGATGCTTTCATCGAACCCGCTTTGGCTGCGGCGGTCCGTGGCTGCGATGATTTCATCAAACCCGTCGTGGGACGCGGCAAGGAACAATTCAGCACTTCTGGTGCCAAAATGCTCCGCCCCGTCTCCTCGCAGACCGGCGCGTAGTCCGCAATCTTAGAAAGGCCGCCGCCGACCTAGGTGACGAAGCGGTGTCCAACGAAGCGGTCCCACGGGCGGCCACAAAGACATACGTACGTAGCGGTCGCTCCCGAGTTGATACGGCGACGCCTTCTCCCCGCCCGCCGGCGAGAGGAGGAAGAGGTTCCACAGGCCCTGCGACTTGGCCTCTTGCTTTAAAGCCTCGATCTCCGGGGCGGGTTCCTGCGGCGAAGCGCCGTCAAGGACTCGCGGTGATGCCGCAAAAGCAAAACGTCTCGCAACAAGGCGGCGGATGACGAGGAGTTCGACCGTCTAGATGCGGCAAAAGACCCGGCTGCGGCCTCGCGAGGGACCCGGGCCACGCGAGAGCGAGAAGCGACGCGTTCCGGTCCATCGCCGAACCTGGACGCACCCATCGAGCCGCCCCAGTCGCCGCCGCCAGGCGTTCGAACACGCGCTTCTCCGCCGGGATGACGCGCTCGTCGACGAAGCGGCGGACGAGGCCTCGGAGCTCCTTTGCGCGCATGCTCATTGCGGGGTCCCAGCTATTGCGGTCGGCTTGAGGAAGACCGGCGTCTGATTACGAAGCTTCTTTGGCGATGACTTCAAGTCCGAAAGACGCTCCTCTGAAAGGCCTTCTTCAAAAGACGCACATAAAAGAGGCTGCGACGCCTCCGCGGCGAGCCTTCGGCGGCGATCGCGAGCTGCCTCGTCGCAGGCGCGGCGGCGACTCCGGTGCAGCCACGCCGTGAGCAGCCACGCCGTGCGCCGAAGGGCGCGGCGAGGCCTCCGGGAGCCGTTCTTTCGCCAAGATGGCCGGACATTCAGTTTTAGGGTTGTTTTTGGAGACTGATCAAAAATTGATCATAAGGCGCCACGCGGCGGCAAAGGGTCTTCTCCGGCGCGGCTGTGCTCCTTCGACGATGGCGGCCATGGCGGAAGTAACGGATATGGACATCGTCGAAGTTCGGAAGGAACTCGCAGCCAGAGGGTACGTCGGCCCTCCAAGAGATCTCTCCTCTTCCCCCTCGCGACGCACGCCGCGCCGCCTCGACGCGGCCGCGCCGGGGCGGAAGGCTTTGGAGCGGGGTGGCGGGCGAGGAGCGGGGCGGCAAAATCTCGAAGCGAAGGACGAAGCACTGCTGTCGGTCTCTCACGAGTCTCCGTCTGCCCTCCCGACGGCTTCCCACGCCTTTGCCGGCCCTTTGGCGGCGTCGCCGGGGCGGAAGGATTTGGAGCGGCGCGGCGAGGAGCGAGGCCGCCAAAAAGTCCCAAAGCGAGAAAAGGCACCACGGGCGTGGCGGCCGGCAGGGCGGGGGGCGGGACTTTGCTTGGTGCCTTGCGCGCGGCCTCCGGCACCGCGGGCGTGGCACCCGTATGGAGCGCTTCGTGGCACCCCTATGGAGCGCTCCTTCGAGGCTCCCGCCTCGCCTTTGAAAGACGCCTTTGACCCTTTGGCCTTGAGGGATCGACACTGTAGGTATAAAGAAGGGTCGCGGTGCTCCTGCGGCTCCAAAACATTGACCTTCTTACCGGACAACGCCCGCCACACGACGGACAACAACGACACTTGCGTCTTACGCTGCCAGGTGTTTCGGACCAGGGGGAGGCTCGCGAAACTGGCCCATCGCATGTGCCGCCTGCTCGCGGCAGAAATCGAAGCCGGCGGGCCTCCACCAAAGCCGTTGGAGGAATACGAAGGGCGCGACGATGTCGTCCTGTCCGCGTCGACGGCGTTGGAGGAGGACGACGAAGTGCTCTGCGCGGGTGTAAAGTGCGTGGAGAAAGGGCCCTTTTACTTTCCGGAACTTTCGAAAGGACCGGCGCCTGACGCCTGCAACGAAGGCTCTCTGGAGAAGTCTGTTCCAACGTCCTCGCGCCCGGCGCCCTGACGGCCTTTTGCTCAAAGAGGTGCCAACGCAACGACGACCTCCGTGAGTCAAACGCAAAGGCGGGGGCATGACGTGCGGTGCCATGAACCTTTCACGGCTCCTTTAAACGCTTCGAAGACCTTTCCCGACGACCCGTCTTCTAGGTCGCGCCAACGAGCGTGCGTTTCTGGGCCCTTTGCGGTGGTTTGATTCCGGCGTAGGTAAAATGTTGGACGAGATCACCGAAGCTGAATCTGCCGCAGCAGAACTCGCTGCTGAAAAGGCCAAGAAAGAAGCAAAGGCAAAGCCCATACCCACCAACACACCCAAACCCAAGATCAAACACAAACCAAAGAGGCCGGTGCGTCTGTCTGGCGGTCCTCTCTGTCCTTGACGTCCTTTGAAACGTCCTTTCACAACGTCCTTTCACAACGTCCTTTCACACCGTCTTCTTCGCAGGTCGCTTCTCCGCCGCCGCCGCCGGCGGACGTGAGTCCGGTTCGCGTGGTTGTCGTGGAGCCTCCGCAGTGGCGTCCCATGGTGACAGCGTCGCCGCCGGCGACGCACGGTACGCTTTTTATCCTCCCTGAGTGGCACGCATACGATGGACTCTGTTTGAAAGAGAGGCTCTTGCAAGAACGCGTGCCCCGATGGCCTTTAGGTTTCCGCCTCGGGGCGCCACCGGCGGCTGAGGACGCGGTGCTCGTGGATGAATATGGCGAGTGCGCCCTCTGCCTCAGCGAAGGCTCCGCCGACCGCCGTCTCGACTGCCCCGGCGCCCACGAATTCTGCCAGACATGCGTCGACGAGTGGCGCTTCCGCACGGTGCGTACTAGGAACGATTGAAACACCCTGTCGAGGGAGTTGTGCAACGCCAACCTTCGCTTTGTCAGGTCCTCAAGGCCCAAAAAGGAACCCAGTGTCCGCTCTGCAGAGGCGTCTTCACCAAAACGAAGACGCTCGTCGCCACGTCGCCGGTGGCGGTCGAGGCTCCGGAGGCGGCGGCAGAGGCGCAGCTTGTCAGGGCCGCCGTTGCCCGGCTTTCGGCGCAGCAGGCGGCCGCCCGCCTCTCCTCGAATCAATGGCCATCTCCGGGCCAGACGCCGGCCCCACCGACGGCCGCCGAGGCCACCGAAGCGGCGTTGGCGGCGGCGTTGCTGACGCCCGCGGCGAGGCCCGCGGCGAGGGAAAGCCCGTGGGGAAACCCAGTCACGCCCGACATTCCGCCGGTCCACGTGACGCCCAGAGGCCCCGCGCCGGCGGCCGACGAGGAGGACCTCGCCGCCCTGCTCGACGTCCTGGACTGCGCGTGGTATCTGCCCTTGCTCCTCGCCGAGGAAGTTGAAGACGTCGAGACCCTTCTCCTCATGGAGATTCACGACCTCGTCGACCTCGGCATCCCCCCCGCCGGCGCCGCCGCCCTCCGAGAGCAGCTCGACGATCTCTTCTGAGCGCCCGCGAGGCGCGGCGGCCGCCCCGCACCGCCGCAGCGGCCTCCGCTGCGGCGCCCGGGCCCGCCGCGGCGACGGCGCTCGGCGACGAGCCGGGCTGCGGCCGAGTGCGCGGGCCGGGCCGTCGAAGCCGCAGACGCCCGCCGCCTCGAAGCGTGCGCTCTCTGCGCTGGTTCGCGGGCCCGCCCGCGACTCGGACCCCCGACGCTAGAATGAGGTCCCTTGTCGGCTCACGACCCGTGTTCAGTGCATAACAGACCACCGAGGCGCCCGGCGCCCCCGCGCCAAAGGTAAAGTGGGTCCCTCGTATAGTCTCGGACTGGGATATTTTTTGGGGCTGGACTCGGCAAGGACTCCGGGACTCTCGGAATCCTAGGCTGGAGCACCCACTGCCACCCAGGATGGATCTTCAGCAAGCAAGCAGTGCTACAAGACCCAGCCCTGGAGCGCAGTCGACTCCAAACCCGTGGCATCGAGGACGGCCGTCCGAGCCGGTTGAAGGGCCCCAAGGGGGGTTAGAAAATTGGAAACATCCCGGTTAGAAAATTGGAAGCATCCCCGCCCGAGCCGCGTCAAACGCCACCCGCGCCTGTGTGCATTGAAGACACAGGATGCATCGACGTCGCCGAGTCGACGTGTTCGGCGTCGATCGTCCGAGTGCGGACTGTGGGACCAAGCAAGCGGTCGGTCCACGCGTCACGCAAGCGTTCGGTCCACGCGTCACGCATCTCCCCTGGCCTCGAGCCGGACGTGAGTGAGTCGGTCGCGTGAGTCGGTCGCCCCATTCGACTTCGCATTTGGACCCGAGCCCTTGCCAGGGACCCGGGTGTGGCGTGGCGTCTGCGCCGAGGGCCGTGGGCCTGCGGTCCGCGTTGCCTCGTCGCTGCAAGGCCTACGCTGCGAGGACGGCGCATCGCCCCGTCGACGTTCGCGCCGTTTCGCCACCGCAGAGCTTTAAACGGTCGAGGCGAATCCGGGAGCGGTTCGGGGACCTGCCGCCTGGCGCGAGGGTGACTGATGAGTACAACGAGTACAAAGCCAAGGGGAACCGCGCGATCTTGAAAGGAAAACCCGGATGTTTCCGTCCAAGATATAAATAAATTAAATCGCTGCATTCGCCGAGGCAAAAAGAAAAGTGATCCAGACGTGATTCGAACACGCAACCTTCAGGACTGGAATCTGACGATCTGCCGTTGATCTACTAGACCGCTCGCTGTAATTGATTTACCGCTCGCTCAACCATTTCACCGCCGATGTTGGAGAGATCTGGGAAGAGGTGAAAAAGTACTTAAATAATAGTCTTGCTTGATTTGTTCGGATTCTCAGACCGCCGCCGCGAGTCGCACGCTTCCGCGGTACTGGCCACGCAGTGACGCACGCCGCCGCGCGGATGCCGCCTATAGTGCGGGAGGCCGCCTATAGTGCGGGGGCGCACCAATCTCCGACAACGTCGGGGCTCGTCTCGACTCGGCCGTCCCCTGGGGTCGGGCCGACACTGTCGGCCACTGTCACTCGGGCGGGGCTCAGAGACGAACCTATACGCCAGTCTCTCCGACGGCTGCCATCGGAAGAATCGCGTGTGGAATCCTGTCTGAAATCCTTTCAGAACACTTTGGATACAGGTTGCGTCGGAGCCGGTGGCACGGCGGCTGCGAGGGTGCGGGGGGCGTGCACCGCTCGGGCCACCGTCGGGAGCCGGAGCCTCGCAGACGCAGCGCGGCCCTCGACCGTTCAACTGACGCGGGGCCGCGGACTCGCCACAGTGGACACGAGTGCCAACGGCTGCGTGTGATTCCTCGGCGCCTCTGTGAATCTGAAGCGTTGTTTATGCGTGGCCTTTGGCGGCGTCCGCCTTTGTAAAAAAGGCTCGGGGTTCACGCGACGGGAGGCGCCTGCCGCTCCGCGATCCACGCGCCAGCCGCGTTCAACTGGACCGTCGCCTGGTCCGAGGACCGAAGCGCCTTGACGACGACGCTGCCGTCGGCGCCCCACTCGTCGGCGAGCATGACGGCGAAGGGGGCGTTGCGGCGGTCCGCGTGCCTGAAGGACCACGGTTTCGAGGCAGGGTTGAAAAGGCAGGGTTGAAAAGGCAGGGTTGAAAAGGAAGGGTTGAAAAGGCAGGGTTGAAAAGGAAGGGTTGAAAAGGACGCTGTTTCAGACTTAAAGGCCCATTTTGGCTTCCTGGCCTCCAGAACGAGGTCCACCTTCAGCCCCCCTGCCCGAAGGCGCTTTGCGACGGCGACGGCGGCGTCGAGGAGCGAATCTTCGATGCAGAAAACGACGACGTCGATGGTCGGGAGAGCCAGGTGACAAGGGACCTAATTCCGATGACTGGCCGCCCGAAAGCCCCGGCGCCAGCGTCTCCAAACGCAGCAGTGGCAGGGATGCATCCCAGGGGTGCACAAGAGCCCCGCGGACGCTGCCACGCACGAGGCCCTTGTCATTCAAGAGCTCCATAATCACCGCGTCCCCCAACCCAAAGCCAACCGCCGGCGTCGCCTCGCCGCCAAACGTCTCCAGCAGCTTGTCGTAGCGCCCGCCACCCGCGATGGCCCGAAGCGTGCCAGACCTAGGCGGTGTTTCAAGTGTGTCAAAGGGCACTCGGACAAGCCCTCGAAAGGCTCTCGTCGGACGGGTCGTCGAAAGGTTGGACGGATCGTCGCAAGGCGTCTCTCCAAAGGGCGCATCCCGCCCGCCTTGCGCGTCTCGACGTCGGGTCTGCTCCCTCTGGATTTTTGCGATGGTCCGAGAACCCAGACGCTCGTCTCAAAAACAGTTCCCTTTCGAAAGGTCCTGGAGACGGGGCCTATGTGCGACGGTCGCTTTGACTGCGGTTTCTCGACGGTCCCTTGGAAAGTCATTTCGACAGTCTCTTCGACTACCGCCCCCTCTGCGACTTCCCCTGGACAGTCGCTCGGACAGTCGCTCGGACGGTCGCTCGGGCGGGCCCTTCAAAGAGGCCTTGCAAGCGACTGTGCAAAGGCCTCGTAAGAAGCCGCAAAAGAGGCCTTACAGGGGCCCGCCCGGAGAGCATTTCAAGGGGCCATCCAAGAGGCCTCGCAAGTGACCGCAAGGCAAGTGACCGCCAAAGAGGCCTCTGCAGGGGCCCGCCAAGAGAGCTTTTCAAGGGCATCTGAAAAGAGGCCTTGGAAGTGACCACGCAGAGGCAAGTAGCTGCCAAAGAGCAGGAGTCCGTCCGGAGAGCTCCTTTGGAAGTCACTTGCCCGGCTTCTGTGCGTTCGCTTGCAAGGCCTCTTTCAAGGTCCCTCGAACGCCCCTCGAGACGGCCCATCGAAAAGGCCTTGCTCGCCGGCCTTTCGAAGGGCTCCTCGAAACGGCCTCTCTGTCAGACGGCCCTACGAGACGGTCCCTCGAGACGGCCCCTCTCGCCGGCCCTTTTAGAGGGCCCCTCGAAACGGCGCCTTTAGACGGTCCTTCGAGACGGCCACTCGAGATGGCTCCTCGACACGGCCCCTCGAAATGGCGCCTCTGGACGGCCCCTCGAGAGGGCCCCTTGAGGCGGCCCTTCGAAACGGCGCCTCAAACGGCCGCTCGAGACGGCGCATAAGACGGTGCCTCGAAGAAAAAAACTTGAGAATGAACCTCGAAACGGCGCCTTGCCCTTTGAGACCGAGAACCCAGAGGCTGTTCGTCTCACCTATCAAACGCCTCAAAAACGGCCCCCGTGTAATAAGCCAGCCCGCGAACGACGGAGGCGTCGTAGACGAGCCAGTCCGCGTAGCCGTGCGCGTTTGCCAGCTTATCTAATGCTGCCAAGTCGTCGAACGCGCCGACTGCTGACGAGGCCGCGTCGCCAGAATCACAGACGGCAGCCTTTAAAGCCGCCAAAGACCCAGTCGCGTGGCCGTGTGCCTGCGCATCTGCGGCACCGGGGGCGAAGAGGGCGGCGTGTAAAGAGTCGACCTGGTCCGCCGCGACGCCCAACAGAGCCTACAGAGACATTGACATTAATGGGACAAAAAAATTCAGACGGCCGGTCTCTCTGTAGTGTCGGGGGACGCCGGTGGGTGCAAAGTCGGCGTGGAGGGCCGACGGGGGCACCTTTTCAAGTTTATCCACGAGCACGCAAGCCGACGCGAATCGCGTATCATCCGCTGCGACGCCGACAAACCTTTCTAAAAGAGCGGCTAAAACACGCCGCGAGTTGACCTTGATGCCGACGTCTTTCGACGTGAGGCCGACGGATTCGAAGAAGGATACCATTGCACCTAACAATTCCGCTTCCGCGGCGACGCCCGGGACCCCCCAGACGTCCATGTTCCATTGGTAATGCTCCCGCCGCCGGCCGCGCGTCGCCCTTTCATAACGCCAGCACTGCGGCACGGCGAACCATTTTAGAGGTAATGCCAAGCCTCCGCGGCGAGCCATGACCATTCTGGCTAAAGAGGGCGTCATCTCCGGCCTCAGCGTCACGCGACGGCCGCCCTTGTCCTCAAAGTTATAAAGCTGCTGCGTCACCTCCTCGCCGGCCTTGCGGATATACAGGGCCTCGGACCTATGGGTCTGTTTGTGCTTTCCTCTGAGCCCAGGTCTTTCCTTCGCGGTGTATGTGCCACGCAACGCTTTCATCACCAGCCGATCGCCCCAAAGCTCCGAGGTCGGGCCCGAAGGCACCATTGGGCCCATATTCCCCCGTCGAGGTCGTTGGTCCAGGAGACTGTACTTGCCCCAGGAGACTGTGGACGCTGGTGGTGACTCGAGCACCGGTGCATCATACTCCTCGAACCCGTGCAAAGCAGCCACCGCCCGCCACTTCCCAAACAACCAGTCGCGCACGCGCAGCTCCTCCGGGTAAAAGTCGCGAGTGCCGCGAGGCGGCGTCCTGCGCCAAGGCGTGAGCGAGGCAGGCGGGGGACGAGGGACGCACAGTTCCAACTTTTCCTGTTTTTCCTCGCTCTTCTTCTGCACCACGGCGGCGCTGACGCGGCCGCCTAGCGAAAGGGGTCGAGAAGGCATGAGCAGAGGCTTGGTGTCCAAGGGATGAGCGGAGGGAGAGGACGCACCGCCCGCAGGCTCGGCGGCCAAAGCGCGCGCGCCACGCATCGGGCCGCGGCGCATCGCACCGGCGAGGGCTGCGCGCGCCTGGAGGCCCGCCGCGCGCCGCGCACCGACGAGCATGGCCACGCAGACCAGCATAGGGATTTCTCCTTCACTCGTCGCTGAAGTCACTTTGGCGAGCGCTTATCGAACGGAGATTCATATTGGTTCGATGGATCGGCGATGATTGCCATACATCATGATCATCCTTAACAACGAGAAACCCGATCGCGACCGAGCGCCGGGGGCGGCTGCGCAGCCCGCTTGCCGGCTCCCGCGCGCTTCGGCGTCGACGGTCGCGCGTCATGGCGGCGCTGAGCCCAGCCGTGGCCGCGTTCCTCCGCAGCTCGCAGATGGACTTTCGAGAAATGGCGAGGCTGAGCGCGCAGATAGCCGACGCGTGCTCGGCGGCACTCGGTGAAACGGCAATCCAGGCCGCGCAGTTCAAAGACGTCGAGGACCGGCGCGGCGCCGCCGTCGACGGTGGGTCGCACCTCGACGGCTCGCGAGGCCGCGTCGACGCCGTCCATCGCCGGGGGGCTCGCAGCGCGGCAGGAAGCGAAGGAGACGCCCGGGGAGCTGCCCCTGGGAGAACTCAAGATCTTCGCAAGAGTTCGAAAGGGGGATGCGCGCCCAATGTTTTTGATAGCCGTTCCGGAAAGGCTCGGGTCCGTTCGCCCTCCTGAACGCAATGGACTTTTTGAGGACCCGAAGGGTCCTTGCCGTTTATTCAACGTCAGTTTACGGCAAGGGCCCTTCGGGTCCTTTGAT